GAGCATCAGCCAGTACTGAAGGAAGACTGGTACTCTAGTGGCTACGTTGGTACGCGTTATCCTAATACGTACGAAAAGCCAGTCGGTTTAAATCGGATAACAGGCCGTCTATACTGAATCCAGTGATCATGAAAACTCCAAAGGACGTCAGGTCTATAACTCGGGAAGAGCCCCTGGGAAAAGCAACTACGTGGCTCTACGACTGACGCTAGGAACCAGACGCAACAGACCCGAGGCCGAACTATTGAAGCATTATGGAAGCATCAAGCAAGACGAACTGTTCAGAGAGGCACAGAATATTACTTGGGTACCCAATTCAGTTGATGCATCTCTGAAAACCAGATGGAGCCCTATCAAGGCGGGACTACTTCAACTCACGGACCGGTTTACTCCCCTGGTTCCATTCAGAAAGGAACTACGTGCTCCTTGATGGAAGGCAAATATAGATAGGTCTATAACCATTCGTAGAAGATGGTGGGCAGTCTATAAACTGTATGCAACCCATGTGTCGTGGAGTAGCTACAAACAGGCGCGGAATTATACACAAAGGATGCAAAGAGAAGGTAATTGTCAATTTGAGAGGACTTTGGCGAAAAAGTCAAGCAAAGTCTTACTAGTTTCTACATATATATTCAATCTCTGGGAAACATTCGGGAAACGTTTGATACTTTCTAAACGTCTACCGGAAAATTAACAGCACTTATCCTGTTACAGTTCTTCAAAAGCATTTATATGATTCCCAGGGCGATCGATAACCCTCCACCAACAGAAGGTAACTGCAGAATGCAATCAATAAATGTGGAAGGTTTGAATGCTCAGCGTGAGTTGACAGATCTAAACAGGTTCAAGACAGCGGCGGAGCCTGACGAAATACACCCAGTGATTGCTCAACCGCTGGTAGACATCATATTGAGTCCGATCTTTGAGCTGTTCAGGGAGTCTCTTAGATTAGATGTTGCCCCGGGTGACTGGAGCAAAGTCACAGTACTGGTGATATATAAGTCTGGATCTCGGCAAAAAGTCTAAAACTACAGTAATATATAAGTGCTTTGGGCGGGTGGTGAGAAAGCAAATATGCCAACACATGGTCGATAGCGGGCTGTTGACACCAGCCTGTGTTAATCGAAATAGTGCTGAATGTAGGAATACGAGAACCCGTACTGTAATGATCAGAACTGGATTGGCTCCAACCCGAACTGCGGACACCAATTAAATACACGAGGAACTGATAGCAGCAAATGATTATGTGTATTCATAGAATTAGAGCATTTTTTATAGGCCATATGATTTGTTGAAGGACCGTCGTCCAATCACGTAACCGTTTGCACCGACAGATCACATGTACTAACTCGGATGTCATGTTTACCCGGTGTACAGTCGGCCGAGCTTCCTGAACTGTGATTGGATGACATGAAGCTGTACCTTGTCGTGCCTGGAATGCGGTCATGCATGTCTGGATCACCACACAGCACAACATGGATTTGCTGACAAGAGTTCCTGTCTGGCAAACCTGCTGGTGTTTCTGGACGAGGAGACACGTTGACTAGATGAGGGTCTACCAGTGGAGGTATGCCTTTCAGAAAGCATTTGACTCAATCAATCACCATCTGTTAGACTATACGATGTAGGACTTGGTCGGACAAAAGAGAAGCTTAAAAAGTGGCACTCGTCGCAACACGAGCATTAAACGTCGAGTAGGTGGAAGATCAGGAGGAACTAGTCACAAGCAGGTTATCTCAAGGATCGGTACGTGGATCGTTTCTATTGCTGCTTTACATCAATGACTAAGTACAGGATCTTCAAATTTCTTGTTTTTCATTTGCAGATGAATTTGATCTGGCATGAGGCAATTAGAAGATGGGCTGAACAATGGGACCTCCCACAGAATGGAGTGAAAAGATAGGAAGGTGGTTATTGATACAGAAGGTGCGCGAAGTATTTAATACAGGAACAGTGGTAACATGGAACTTCAAAACCGGTGCACCCAGTGAGTAACGGGCACAAGCAAAGCCGGTGGACAACTGTCTCGTCTATGTGTTCATCGTCCCTTTCGGGAAACCGGAGGTATTCTTCTCCTTATGCAAATATACCGTCCGCTCGATTCCGGAATACTGTGTGCTGGCTTGCGCACCTTTTTATCAAATGGACGCCGATATCACAGAGAAAGTTCAACATCCAGCAGTAAAGATAACAGCTGGGCAACAAGGAAAATGTCATGTAAACCGACTCAGGAATCTAAAGGTGTTCCCTTTCCAATGGAGATGGCTAAAGGGAAACCTGACAGAAAGGTTTAGGATTGTCAAAGGTTTATCAGGCCTGAGGTTCGACGATTTGCTATTCTTAGTTTTGTACATGTAGTACTAGAGGAAATAACTTGCGGATGCAGCGAAACCATTCTAGACTGCAAATGACAACAATCTTTTTGACTAGGGTGATTCCGTTGTGGAATTGATAACCGCAGACGGTAGAAAGCTGCCATGCAGTAAACGCTTTTGCAGAGCTACTTGATGAGTTTGAGCCACGGGTTTTCCACAAGGTAAGCATTCCGCGCACAATCTAAAACCCAAACTCAATGAATGTGATACTGCAATGTAGTATTATGCTTTTCAGAAAAATTGCATACGGAAGTGTTGGATGCTAAGGAAACTCGTCTGTCACACACGGCTTAATACTTCACATACACATCAACAAATAAAAACAGAAATGTGTCTCTTACATTGCTTTGGCAGACGGTTCTTTTGAGAGAATACAATCATATCTAGTAACACCTTTAGATAAACCCAGTCAAATTCAAAATATCTGCACGTGCAACTCTGAATAGGTTTGAAACACTTCTGTTCCAATGATTAAACAATAAAGTATGTTTTTCATACAATTCATGAGTTGTCTTCCCTCGGAATTCCGGCGGTTACACCGGATTCGATACCGCACTCGTTTTTACCGCGGGCGATTTGAAAGAAGCCCCACATTCCCCAATGGTCGTTCCATGAATTGGCCGCCAGCCAGTACTTCTCACCGCCGGTTTCGCCCCAACCCAAAAGGCGCACCGCATGACCACCAAGNGTAGTTGACAAAATCCTCGTAAACGTTGAAAACTGCTTCCACCGGTCCGTTGATCATGATCTCTTTCATGATGGTCTCCTCGTTGTGCAATAGGTTGTACGATGTGCTACCTGATGCAAGCGCAATGGTGAAGTGAAGAGATCAAATTCTCTACAGATTAATATCCATGTTTGATAATCTTTGGGTAGATTAATAATGGTGATGATGGTGTGGATCGATCGGTTTATGTACCTTTCCGCAATAGATCCCGGGGTCTAGCCCATCGGTTATCATGAATAAATAGTATTTTCCCTTGATTGAGGGATTTACCCATTCTACTAGCCAGTACCATACTCGGTTTTATGATACAAAAAATGGTCAAATGAGGTGAAGCTATCTAAGGCGATACCAGAGCACATTATGCCGGGGCAACAACATTTTGCAACAGAAGTTGTCCGATTATTACATCACAATATTTCGATATTTTGCAGTTCATATGCCCCATTGCTCTGTTAACACACTTGCAGGAGCAGCAGCAGCAGCAGCACTGAGCGCTGAAGGAGTCTGTCTATTCTGACGATATATTCAAAACGGGGAAAGATGTTTCTGTTCAAGCAGCTGGGACTCAGACAGAATGAAGTGGTGTGAAATTATGTTGTTATGTGTCCCGATGGAATCAAATGCGATGCAACCCTTGGGAATAAACTTAAAATGATCAAACGCTTGAAAGTGAGTTTCTGTGTTTATTCTCCAGTAACCAACGTAATAGAAAGCTAGCCTATTAATGCACCTGTATTTCAGTCTTCTTTAAACTCTTCACGAGCGTGATGCTTGTCAACTCGAAAGCGGATTGAAACTTGAATCTCATAGGTGGAGCGCAAGAAAACTATCCACTTTAGGACTGAAAAGTTGGTCACATTCTTTCATTCTATACATGCACGCAATATAGTACAACCTATTTTTGCACTCTTCTTGTGGGCCTCACACATTGCTTCTTTCTTCCTTATTGCCTCTAGGTCTATGACTCAATCGGAAACATTCTGACTCTTGCTTCATTTTACAAAATAGTAGAGACAAACTTAATTTGTTTCTATGGTGTTGTATCGTAATCAATTGGATGATGTACTTGGGTTCTACCTGTGTGGTCGCTGGTTTGATCCGCAGTCGAGTTAAGAGATTCACACTACGGATGACAGGTAACTAGGTTGAAAAAAATTGTTCATTTCTCTCTTTGTTTCCGGTTTACACTTTGTTTGTTCCAAACTGGAAGAAATTCATTGTGTGATCGAATCAAATACTCTTCTACTTTCCTGTAAATTAAACTATGTTTGAAATGGTCCGTATTTATATGATCCTGTTTGAACCGTGAACGCTAACAGATACACTAAGTTTAATGGTTGACGAACTTGAGCTGAATATCAAACCGGTCAAAACAAAAATTGCTTACCAAACCACAAATCGGCTACGTAAGATTTTTCATAGTCCTGGTTACAAGTTAATTCACACTCAGGTGTGGCATAATGTTCCTTCGGACACGGACCGTACGAACCGTTCGTATGATGCTCACAACGTGGGAACGGATAGGGAAGACAACCGGTATTATCCTCTTTCGAACCACCCGTCACAATCCCGTGTTTTACCCAATGGTCCCATGCAGGACCGGGCCAGCCACCTTCACAACCGGAGCCACAATTTTCACAGCACGATAAAAGATCAAGCGCACTGAGCTCTGGTCTGTATCTTCCGCCCGTGTGTATGCAAATCCGGTCGCTCATAGCCGAGACAGCTGCGAATGCCTGTGACGGGAGAAAATATTTCGCTCGATGTTATGGAGTTCAAACGAGTAATCAAAGGAGCCAGGGTAAAAGAAAAACTTTCCAGTGTCTATAGTGTGTCGTTTGCATGACAGTTATCTTGCTGAATTTTTGTCTAAAGTTGTCCGGCAGAAAACCTGTGTTCAAGAGATTTTAATGACGAAATCTACTTTGATATACGCTTTAGAACCACAGTTCACAGAGATAGATTGAATCAGATTATATGCTCCTTGTGAACGGGTTCGAACGTCCAAATGTGTTCAATACACTTCAATACGTAATCAAATCGCTTTCCATTGCCGCAGAAATAAAGCTTACGGGGTTGTTCGTAAGTCTTGCAATGATTGGTCCACTCTCAAAACTTTTGCTCTCACATTACCTGAGCTGCCAGTAGTTCACTGACATATTTAAGCCCTGGATGTTGAATTTTCATCATCTCACTTTTGTTGTGACCATAGTTCCACCACAGGAAGGTAGTCAGTACGGCTTCTTCAACAGAGGCTTTTTAGGACGTTTGGTTAAATGGTTAAATTTCGCGAGGTTCAACCCACGACCCTGCCCGGAACGTTTTGGTTCTGTCGGAAATGTTTTGGGTTCCATGGTATGAGGGTCAAACCCAACCAATGCCACGAAACATAAATGATGATCTGCCCCGCAATCGTTCGAGTCAATAATACACTGGTCCCTACTCTTTGGTTTTGCAATGTTGCTAGTTGAGTCCTCAAGTTTTCTATTGTAGGTTTCAGGATGCTAAATTCAAGTGATCAGTTAATACAAATAAGCATTCCATGGACCAGATATCTTTAACTGAAAAATCGAAAAATTCTATGTCAAACTCTAGGAGACAACAGGATGGGTAAACTGAAGAAAAATGTATACTAAGCATTACTTATATGTTTATAGCCAATTTTCCCTAGAGTTGGTTCAATAGGCAATGTTGATAGAAGAAATAAGTATTGATACTGATATCATTGTTAATCCTGAAGTTCGTAGGAGAAACGGGAACTCCTTAGGACGAAACCGACATGGATAGAGGGTACACTGGCTCGAATAAAACGCTTTTTCGTCGTTGAGTATATCAGACGAAGCGACGAACGCTCCACATACACGCAAGAATATACTACTCATAAATTATGAGTAGCTCACTAGAGTTGTAATAGATATAGGGGTAAAACTAAAAATACTGGTAACAAAGGAACTTGAAATTGTCATATCCGTACAGAACACCACAACAAACTTAGATCAATAGAATATACAGGCAGAGGTGTATTCCTGTTTTGGTCTTTTGTGGACACATATGAAACTTACTGACCCAGTACGCGCTTGAAATACATATTTGACATGTGATTCTTGATTTAGCAGTATCAGCACTTTCACTCACCCAGCATGAACCACAGCTTGACTGATCACGTATCTGCGTGATTGTTTTACATTTGGGCCACTGGAGTCCCGCGTGAAAGGACTTCGGCAGAGTTATCAGTTTATCCTCGTGCGTGACCGTAGGTCGACGAGAATTGCGCAGATGGGTTGGCTCCGGGCGCGCTCCAAGAAGTAGTTTCACTTGATCGATTGAGGTAAATCGTGTTGACCTTGTCGCTTTCCATGTACCTCCAGGCTGTTGGGAATGGTATGACAGTGCGAAACGAGGCCAAGATGTGAGCATTAGTTTTGTGTGCAAAATATTGCTTACCACTTTTCTGTTCAAGATGTTACATAATCAGTGGACTAAATCGAACACTGTGCAATCACTGTGCCAATTTCCTACCACTCCCCCGCCACTCCATTGATTCCTTTTTATAGATAGACCGTATACGAGCCCGATTGATTGCTTAGTCTCATTCATATTTCATCATTGGTTTGACCGCAGTCCGACAGTGAATTTTAAACGAGACATGAAGGAGAAATTGCCGTGGTGTTAGTGCCGTGTGAATACCTACATTCCATAGAGGTGTATCTGCTAAATTAGTTCAATAAATGATGATATCAAACAGACAAGTGGAAAGTTCGTCTAGTAAAACAATTTTAATGGGAATTAGTTGACCATAAACGCGACATATTCATCCCTCGCGTTCTCACTCTTCGTTAGAATTGTGCGACTGTTGTAATGAATCGAACTGGAATGGGTTTTGTCATCTGTATCCCGTATTTCCCATTGTGTGAACATACTTTGAATCCATGATTCATCTGTGGTCGGACGTACGTGGAAAGCAAGCTCAGTTGGGGTCAGTTCTCTTCTTTTGCTAGGAGCCATTCCGCGATAAATCGGCAGCATTCAAGGTCACTGAACGAGGAGACTGCCACATGAATAAAAAGAAGAACACCCTGTTGGAGGTGAACCTCGGGTATCTGTTCCAATCTGTTACTCTGTCCGTTCCGGATGTCGTGAGTCTTATGGCACTCTTTGTTATATTGGAATCAGTCTGTTAGCCGAACACAAAGGTATTGTATGAAAATTTAGCAAATTGTCTGTCCCTGTCGGAGGAGGAAGATGACCAAAAGAGCGTCGTTTTACTTCCTTTTTTATTAATTGCATATACAAATGTACAACCCATGTTCCGGGACGGCGTAGGCGTTCGTACAAAGGCTATCTGGGAAAATGCAGAAATAGGGGAGATAGGCAGTGATAAACCGGTTCGAACCCGAGACTTCCTGATCACCATTTCACGGACCTTAACCACTTGACCGCCACCACCTTAACTGTGTTGAACGGTTGTCGATCGGGCAGGCTTTGAATCATTGTCAACATCGGTTCCGGAGAACATCGCTGAGAAGACGAACCTGGTTATGGACCTCTGTTTTAGGTATGCGTGAATGGTGATCTTTAACTGACGCGAATTCGGCGAATTCGAAGACTCATTTACGTTCATGGACACCGACGATTCGGAGAACGGAATGATATTTGTGTTGCTCAAATACAGGGTAATCGAAGGATATCTCTTCCTGCTTCGCCTAATGTGATTTAACTCAGCTTGATAACGAAGGTCGCATTAGCAAGTTAGAATGACGTTTATGCACTCGAAAGGTGAACTTTTTTTCATTTTTAATGAGAATGCTGTGGAAAGAGGAAGAAACGCTAAATAGTGCGGAGGGTTAGACAGATTGACAGGACACTGTGATAAAGAAGACCCGAGTAACGTTCCACAGAACAACGTATTAATAAAACTGCATGCAACCAAGTCCCCGCTTGACTGCAAGCTGTACTCAAGTTTGTTTTTCAGCATAAATGAGTTAAAAGCATATTATTATTATTATTACATTGCGTATGTCTGCCCATAGACTACCTTTCTGTGCTCTCTTCGCACGTGCCGGGCAAGGCTGTAAGAAGCGGCGCGGCGGTCAGACCATGACATGGCGTAGAGGTATGAGGAAGCTGGCTTCAGCTTTGGCCCGCCTTCCAGGTTGGGGCCCAAGGGATGAGGATTCTCGTTGGTTAGAGATGCTAAGAGATAAGGCCCAGAATCGAAGTTAGTGGCGCGAATGCTGTACGGTCTGCCTGTCGAAATCCCGCGCCCCGTAAAAAACAATAAACAACACAAAAAAGATATTAAAAAGTGTACGGTGAAACACACAAAAATTTTCGTTATCCCATTTATCTACCATTTTCCCGTGTTTAACTGTTTCTCTATCTTTCCACCTTGTTTTGTGTCCCAATCTACCTGCCCCCCCGTATTGTCGTTATTGTTATTATTGTTGTGGTGTTAATACCATGCTTGTCTACGAGCCGGTGTTAAATCTATAGATATATATTATTACATTAACATCATCGATGGTTTTGAGTATTACAGCCCTTTGGTGGCTACCTATAATGTGCACGATGAGACCGACCAAACAATCCTTGTGTGACACGAACTGCAGTTTGTTATTTCATTAAACGAAGAGCAGAACAACAACTCGAACAATCTAAAGTAGCAAATCAACTTGCTTTTGCTGTTTAGTTCGATCGGTGACCCTCAAAATTCATCTATTTTGCAGAACCCTTGGTTTATTGAAATGGATCCGATCACAGCACAGTTGGAGGTCTTGGGCAAAGACAAATTGTGCAACACAGTTTACATTTTGTTTACCCGAATCGGGAGCCTCGCATCGAAACAGGTCGTCTTGAGAGATTGAATTGCGTATTGAATCAATAACTGACTGCAGACTTCCCAGATCCACATTTGAACTAACTTGATACGGGAACTCTGTATAGCCTCGGTACGAGCTGGCTAGTACAGCGGTAATACATACATACACACACCTTCATTGAATGAAAGATTTTAATTTCTCAAGGCGGCCACGATATCCTATGTTCACACCAGTATTGCACTCATTTAAGTAGGATGTATCCTCAGGGAATAGCGATTTCGAGAACTCTCGATCATAAGAGGCCTACCAAAATTTATGCGCCAATGAACGCATCATGATCAATGAGGTGTATTCGTCCTTCCAGGATGTATCGACCAAAGCCAAACGGTGATCAAAATCACAAGTTACACAGTTTTCTCACTTCTTACAAGATTAGCTGCATACTATACTAAATCATTATTGAAGAGCAGTATTCAAACTCAGTAGTATTGATCTATTTTGATCGACTCCAACTGGATCCGTTGGGAGGTTTTGCGACCGAATCTCACTACCGCTGTCCGCCTTTTTGACCGTAATTGATAGAACTGTAAGCAACCCTATCGCCACGTGAGTTGGAGCTTCAGTCATTTTTGTTTGGTCAGTAAAAGTGAATTAAAAGCATAGTATTACTATTACCCATAGGTTTGAGAATTGCAGCTCATTTGTGGTAGGGTGGTCAAAACAAGACCTTGCACAAGGGTAAAAACACCCAAACCAGGAGACTTGGTCATATAGGTCGCGTTAGGGTCCCCGGGTGGGGACCTCGGAATCATTGTACTCAGTGATTGGAGACAATGAATAATATAGCTGTGTCAAAAATGGTGGGATGCAAACTTCTCAATTTCTTTGCAACTATAGTCTAATGGAATTAGTCAGTTTCTCTTCGACTCTACTTTCGGCCTTCCTGTCTTTCTCTTACTACTTTATTCAAATGGGCAGCCAAAGCGGGCGCACGAAAGTGCACGGTTAGTGGTTGTAAAAACTGAATCAACCCAATCGACCAAAAAGTACCTGTGTGGCAGTACTCACAGTTTGTTGGTTCACCAGTAGAAAAAAAGATTAGGGCCCGAGTTAACTAAATTACCAAACCAACTACTACACTATAGTCATTTTTCTACAGTTCACCCCAAAAACGCGGTGGTAAGCTGAGAAAACTATAAAGCAAATCTTTGTTTCTCAGGGTGAATGAAACAATGGAACATACTTTGTTGTTGATGTAGTCGATCAATTCGTCTGACAAGGGAGCGAAAGCCGTCCGCGGTTGTGTCGCATTCCAGGCTTCCGTGCAAATCAGTCCGAAACACACAAAAATAATACAGAGGAACACAGGTGGATGCATCATGGCCAGGGAGGATCGTGTTGATTCATTGACTGGTCCCATTTATACGAACTGGTAATGTGGAGTGGAATAGGGAGGATCAAAGTTCAACTCTATGCCACGGAACGATGTGATAGATTTTGGAAACTAAACGACGAGAGGTGCGTGTATGTGTGGAGATCATCAGGTTGCTGTTTTGTATTCAGATGGCTGGTTTCTTATGTCGTTCAATTACAATACTATTTTGACGTGACACGTCTGTGTCCTGTTTATACCGGT